GTTAAATTACATTTCTGTCCCGATACCTGTTTTTAAAAGAAAAGTACCAGTTTTCATTCAGTATAGTACCAGGGGCTTTCAAAATAGTATCTTGTGTTATAAATTTACATGGAGTACCAAATGTATTTCTATATTGTACCTGACTTTATTCCCGGAGTACCACCGCATATAAAATGGTATCAGAGCCTAGGTTTTATTAAGAACTCTTAGAGAATTTATTACATGGTAATTGAATTTTGGTGAGGAGAATTAAAAAAGAATGGATATAGAAATTTGTCCAGAATGTATACATTATCTAAGATATCTTCAAATTTTGAAGATGTGTGAACAAGAACACCAACAAATGGTTGCCCATTGGGATGACCGTTATGTTGAACAAGCTATGGCAGGAGTTAATAGAATTACAACAAAACTTTGCCAAAAACAAAAGAAGTATCATATGGATGCCCTCTGGGTAAACCAATTGTTACAAACAGATTTATTAAATCATCAAGCAATAGCTCATCAAAATCACAATCATCAATGAGCTATAATAGTTTAACCTGGAAAGAAGTTATTCCAGACTCGTCTAAGTTTTCGGAAGATATTCGCGAATTGCAAAAGACGATACAAAGCTATGGTGAAAAGCAATTGCTTGTACCAACCAAGGTACACCAGACGCTAACCAAAATTAAAGAACTAATGAAGAGTCAAAAGGATACATTAGAAATCCTTATTGACATTCAAAAGCGAGTTAAAACTCTAGAAGATAGGCCGAGTTCTTCTAGAGGACGAAGAAAAGTAACCTTCGGAACAGTACCTCTATTACACCAAAAGGGTAAACCCACCGAAGTTCGAAGGCTTATGACAGAGGACGAAAAGATGAGAGCCATCTTAAAAGGAAAATTCACTAACAAATAATGGAAAGAGTGAATTTGGAGGATCTACATGACCTTGCAGAATCCTTTGCAGGTCTGGGCCTAGTAGACTTAAAAATGAATACGGGAGATGGTTCAACGATAGTAACTAGGTCCAACCACCTCCTGGAGGAGAAAGTTCGGGTTTTCACCAACTTGAGGAACAACATATGCCCCATCAAGGGGATTTTCAGGTTCGGGGAGAAAGCGGGCATCCAGCGGGTACCCGAATGCGTTCCCGAAGGCCTAACCTTCAAAATACCCCTTATGGGAAATCGCAACTAGATCCAATTCATCCTTATGGGTTAATGTTGAATCTAGATACCTTAGATTTTAAAAATCGAGAGATCCTTATCGATGATTGGGCCTCTGCAATGAGAATTGCTGGAGGGACATTGGATCTCAACAAAGAAGGGTTCATTTCACTTCTCGAAATGAGCCTAGAAGGTTCAGTTAAAATTGCATGGGATATGGCTTCTCCAGACGTAAAAGGAGATGTCATTGCTGGAGAATCATTAAAAGGAATAGTCGATAATATGGCAAGAGTATTTAAGATCTTATTTATCGGCACAGGATATTTTGAAGGAGTAGAGGAAGAAAAATAAAAGAGATATAAACAAGCCCTCTATTGTTTAGAATTACATGACATTTGTCATGTAGATGAATATATCAAGTTATTCACGGAGTATAGATGGAAGGCCAAGGTAACAGATTCTGAAGCCTCTCAATTGTTCTTTGCAAAGATACCCAGTCCATGGAGAGAAATGTTAATCAAAGAATATAAGATGGACGAGGTAGATACGGTGGCTAGAAGGATGT